GGGAGCCAGCACTGTTTTGTGTCTGGCCTCTTTAAGTTAGCCTGCCAAAACTTTTGTTTGAGAAATAGCAATTTTGAAAATGTTGTGAGAAATCTGTGCTTACTGTAAAAGGCATTGGGAAATGGAGGGAAAGGTATAAAGCAAGGAGAAATCATTCCGAACCCTAATACCCTAACTAACCATTGGTAATGCCGACCTTTCCCTGTCCCGTTTTGTTCCTGTTAGTCCCTGGGCTTCCTGGCCTAAGAATTCGAATACTCCCGTATGGTAGAAGAGTTCCTGTGAAAGCACAGGATTGTATCAGGCATGCATGGCCTATCTGCCAATTCTCCTGATGGTGAGCACATCAATTGTACCTATTTATTTTGCGTGAAATAAATTTGCCAGTTTTGGTGGCGGGAGGCGGAGGATCTTTGTGAGTTCAAGGCCAGCCAAGGCTATCTAGAAAGACCCTGACTCAAAAGTAAACAAATAGATCACAAATAAACAAACAAATAAATAAAGTTGTTTTTGTTGGTGGACAAGAGCTCCCCATACCGCATTCCATGTACACTAGTCTTTCTTGTGAATTGCTTATCTGTAAAATACGGATATGCGTTTATATTGACATCCTCAGACTATCGTAAGGATTAAATGAGATTTTTGTCCCTGAAGTGCTTGAAGAGTGCACAGTGGACATGGGGTGGGGCAGGGGGACAAGTTAGCAATACCCCAAACATGAAACCAAAGAAGAAGACATCAAATAAGAAGAAACAGAGCTCTCCTCAAAACTTAATGTCCTTGGAAAAACTGGGCCCCAAACTGGAAATATCCAAGTGACACCTAGGAAATCATTTCAGAGAGATAAACGTCTGTTTTGCTTTCCACAAAGACTCAGGTGCAGATGGAAAATGAGTTCATAACTTAGAAGGTGGTGGGTAGTAGCTATTTTCTTGAAATTTTGTGTAAAGACAATGAATGTCCTGGGGAGGTGCTACACCAAAATCATTCCCCAGCACCTCTGCGCAGTGACTACAGTCACCAAGACACGATAGTGACAAGGTGCAGACAGGTGTCGCTTCATCCAGCCCTGACGATGTGGACTCTGCTTTTATCCCTGGAGCTGTCAATGGTTTGTTAGCAAGCTGAGCATTTTACATAGGCTACCTTCCTCCTTTTTCCATAACTGAATTGTTCACCAAGCGTGGCGAGGGGCAGAGTAGCCATTGTTGGCAGAAATAAATCCTGTATATATTAGGGTAAATCTAATACCGAGGCCTTGTTTTTATTCCTGTGTCCCTTGGTCCACAATGTCCTTATTGCTGGCTCTTCATAAAATACTGAGTGCTTAGTTAGGAGACCTCTACTACAGAGGAGGAGTCCCATTCCCACAAGAACGAGTCCTATTTCAGACCATAAGGTGTGGTATGCTAATATCCTTAGACTCATGTGCCTCAGTAGAACCTACAGTTCTACTGAGAGTGTGGAGCAAGCCCATTGAAGAAATGATCCTGTGTGTGTATGTGTGCGTGCGTGTGTGTGTGCGCGTGTGCCTCCAAGTGCATGCATGCAGTCTTTTATGCTCCCAGAAGGCTTATCAAACCCTTTCCAGAAGAGAGCTGGCAAAGAATCGTGAAGACGAGAAACAATGGGAGGTATTTTGTAAGCTGGGACAGTATTGTGGAAGGATGTTGAGTCATGTTATATAAATGGTTGGTCATTGGAGGTCGCAGTTTACAATTCCCAGATGAACCACAGACTGTAAGTTGGTGACAAGAAGTACCTGAGATAGTCCCTGTTGTCTGTACTTATCTGTCTGTCTATCTTTGTCCCAAATTCAAGAATGGCTGAATATGTGTCTGTAGCTACAAAAAGAAAGCAGCAATAGGGAGTGTGAAACTCAGTGTGATGGCCTCACACTTGCTCTTTGTCCCCCTCCCCCTCCCCCCGCTTGGGAACGTTCCATTTTGACATAATAACAAATCTGTTTATGTTTGCAAAGGACTGGCTATGGATCCTGCTTCTGGAGGAAAATTCAGACAAGGATCTAATGAATTTTCAGAAAAAGATTAACTCCTAGAGGCCAGGTAAGAACAAAGCCACACGAATGCCAGTGTAGCTGGTCATGGAATAGTGTGCAGGACACAGTGAATGGACTTCTGAGGGAAGGGACCTCGAGAGAGCAAGACTGGCAATGTATTCTCTTGAAGTCCAGGACACCCTCAGCTTTTATTCTTCGGGTACCAGCTGCCTCTTCCTTTTGAAGTATTATTTCTCCCTGGCCTTTGGAATGCAACAGGTAACTAAGTTAGGTGGCTATTGAATACCAGAGACATACCCATCTCTGTTTTTCTAGCACTGGGATTATAAATACCCTTCACCATACCCAGCCTTAAAGGAAAGGGAAAAAAAAAAAAACCACAGGTTCTGAAGATTCAAATTGCACCCTCATGATTGTAAAGCAAGCGCTTTACTGAGCCATTTTATATCTTGACTGGATAGGAAAGGAAATACTTCTTCCCTTTGACCTGGAAGCTATTGACTTTTCCATATTTTTTTTTTTTTTTTTTACAAATATATTTCCCCTTTTAAGAAGGTATCTCGTGCTCACATCCATGGACTCCTACATCTCCAACCTTGATAGCTCTGCTGGGTGTGTGCTGTGAGGTACCTTAAGAGGCAAGGTTTATCATGGTATGAAGGCTTGCACGGAGACTAACCGACCACTCTTCGTGAGACTTCAAAATCTGAAGGCCCTGGTTACCTAACATTTTCCATGTAGATACCGCGGTAATGCTCATGTCTTTCTTCTGTCCTCAGACTGGCTTCCTGTACCTCTGTGGCCTGGATGGTCAGACACCCAGAAACACGTGCCACAGAAAGCCAGAACTATCTGTTCTTCTGTAGCATTGTCAGAATATTATTACTTCTGAGTTTCTTTACTCCATTAACACTTTTCAAAAGTTATTAAATTTATCAGCCTATAATCATAATGTCTGGTTTAAAGATCCAAAGATCTGCATGAAGTGTCCTTACAGCACTAAAGAACAAAAAATGTTTTTTTGATATTTATATCTTTTTTGTCAACTAGTCATTGGAGAACTAGTTGCCTGCTATAACATTGGGTTTTAACCCACTTCATTCTATGTAAAAAACCATGATAGTCCAGTTTTGATATATGTATTTATTAAACTATGGTTATTAATTATCCCTATTTGTTTTTAATGCCATGAATTATTTAGATGTACTTAATGTGTGCTTAAATTGTATACAGTATGTATATGTACCATATGCATGCAACTCCTGGAACTGGAGTTACAGACTTTTGTGAGCATCCTGTGAGTGCTGGAAACCAAACCCAGGCCCTCCTTTCCAAGAACAGCAAGTGGACCATCTCTCCAGCCACCACGCCCTGCTTCTTACTTTACACGTTCATATATATATATATATATATATATATATATATATATATATATATATGACTGGGATAAGCCAGTCCACCGAACACTATCTGCTCCCATATATGTATCCTCATTATGTATGTATTGTTGAGATCTGGTTGCCTCTGCCACCCAACTGCTGGGAATGAAGGTCTATGCCACCATGTACAGCTCCAGGCTGCATTTGTTGGGGTTGGGGAAAAATGTTGAAGATTCTTTATCTGTGAAAGAAGGTTCTAAAGCGGTGGTTCTTGACCTTCCTAATGCTGTGACCCCCTTTACTACAGTTCCTCATGTTGTGGTGACCCCCCAACCATAAATTATTTTCATTGCTACTTCATAACTGTAATTTTGACAGTTATGCATCATAATGGAAATATCTGGTTTTTTCCCAATGGTCTCTGTGTATCCCCACCACAGGTTGAGAACCGCAGCTCTAAGGAAGGGCTCTGTACTACATTCTTCTATCACAGCTTAACCCTGAAGCCTCCTATTCACGTTTTTATCATTCCTTTGTTTACACAGTTGTGTTAGAGATTAGTCAATTCTTCCTTCTCTTTGGAGTCTTAAGGGCCAGGAAACATCCTTTTATAGGGTCATTTGCATTTAGTTCAAGAACATAGTCTTAACCCAGGACGTGAATTAGGAAAATTAAGCTATGTTCTCTGTCAACATTTTAGCAAAAGAATCCCGGGCTACTCCCACTGCCGGTCCAGCACGCTTAAATGCTAATGATCTGGGCCATGGGGACCAAATGCCATTGTTTCATGTACAGGAAAATCAAGTATTTTTTGCAAATGACCAAAGACTGCAGTAGACTATGTAAAGGTATTTGTGGAAGCGTCTGTGACCAGACCTTGGCTGAGGTTAACTATTGTTTGGGGAGACTGCCTTCCCACCCAGAGGAAGGGGGGGACTGTGGGAACTAAGATATCCCAGGGCAGTGAATTCGATCCCGTGAGGGTTATCTCATTGACTCATTGTCCACTCTGGGTCAGCTGTGGCTTACAGACCCTGGTCTCCTGGCTGATCCCACAATATAAGCTTTCCCAGTTACCATCCCTGGATTCAGCCCAGCCCCACCTTGGACTTCTTGACAAGACTTTTTCCATGGACCATTAGAGCTAATGAGGGGGTGGGGGAAGGAGAGGGGAGAAGAAAGAAAAGAAGGAAAACCATGGTCATATCTAGGGGTATAATGTTTTCTGAAGAAATCCCAATAAGTAATAAGAGAATTTCTAAGAGGTACCAGAAATCAAGTGTAAACACTATTGTAAAATGGAATCAGGGTAACATGGGAGAGATCACTCTTGTGGCGATACATCAGAAATAAAATATATTCTCAGTACTGAGAATGTGACCAAAGCTTATAGACTTCTTAAGTCATAATTTACTCAAAAGAGGCAAAAGTTCTGATGGGTGCTGATGCTGAAAAGGAGTTTCTGAAGGGGCAATGACTAATGACCCAAAGGAGGCATGAAGAAGCCTGCAGGGTTTTCTATTTCAATGGGAGTGTAGCCTAGCCCATGTTGATGCCGGTGTCGCTAAATGAAAAAACTCAAGCCGGAGTGCTAGATGCTTAACGTTTATTGTATGTAGGATATATATGTTGGGAAAGACAGTCTCAAGACGAAGTACAGTCTTCCAAGGTAAGGTTTTACACTTTCAAAATCGATTAACAAGATATCAGTGAGGGAGATTACAAGTACAGTTACATTGCAAAACGCAATCCTCTTGGGATACAAACTAACGACTTAAACTAATCAACTACAGATACATTTTTCTATTGGTGATTACAAACAGTACTTTAGAACCTCAGCAGCTTGAGATGGATTTTAAGCTAGGCAAAGAAGGTTCTTATCTAACACACTTATTTTTTTTTTAATTCCAGTATATTTTCTTGAATTCCTGATGAAAACACAATGAGCATTAGAGTCAGCAAAACACTTTCGATGGATGCCTTGATCATTTCATCACTTAAATTGGCTGGCTACACAGTGATTTTTTTTTCCAGTCAGATATAACTGACAATCTGTTTTGTCTTTAAGATAAATGAAGTCACAACTCACATTTCAACAACATCACATGAAAAATATTGAAAACCACACTACACATTCACTTTAAAATTGAGGAAACTGATAGATTCACAAAGAACTTCTACAAACTACAAAGTAGGCTACGAGAAGAGTAACTAAAACTACACCCCACCCTAAGAGTCCCTGAAAAGAAACACACAACACACACACACACACAGCCTAGTTATAAATGCCATACAGATATTTACCCTCTTCTCTTTAAAACATCTTCCAAGGTGGAGAAACCCAAGCCTTTCCATCATGTACTTCCTAGGCAGTGCTACACTTAGTTAACATCATTCCAACAACATTCAACACGATATTTACAAAATAGCAGCTGTCGTTTTGGATCTTTGTTGTGATTTCACAACAATGAGGATATAATATGAGGATAATAATATGATAATAACATGATAATATTTGCAGTTCGATTACAGAGTACGCACGCGCTCACTAAATTTGGTACAAAGCATGAATACTAAGGATATATATTGGCACAATGCATGCAGTTAAGGGTATTCTTTTTCTCAAGCTAGCAATCGCGGGTAAAGCTAAAGCCCCATCCTGCTGTCCTACGCTTCCCCTCAAAGTGTAATGGATGTTCCAAACTGTAACTGATGCTTAAAACATCTCCCGCGAGAAAAACGCCTTCTTAAAAATCAATTTATCTGAAAGCGTGATGGAAATGGGGCAGTATAGCAGTGTTGGTGCCAGTTGTGAAAACGTGGGGGATAGGGGGTAGCGGGAGCTGACCCAGATTCACAGCGCTCACTATTTGGGCTTCTTGTGGCTGCGGCTGTGGCAGCGGCTGTGGCATTGGCTGTGGCAGCGGCTGTGGCATTGGCTGCGGCAGCGGCATTGGCTGCAGCTGCGGTGGCTGCGGGATTGGCTGCAGCTGTGGTGGCTGCGGCATTGGTGGCGGCTGTGGCACCACTGGCTGCGGCATTGGCTGCAGCTGCAGTGGCGGCGACAGTGGCGGCGACATTGGCGGCGCCATTGGCGGTGCCATTGGCGGTGCCATTGGCGGTGCCATTGGCGGTGGCATTGCCTGTGGCATTGGCGGCGGCATTGCCTGTGGCGGCATTGGCTGCGGCATTGGCTGCGCCATTGGCTGTGGCATTGGCTGCGCCATTGGCTGTGGCATTGGCTGCGCCATTGGCTGTGGCATTGGCTGAGCCACTGGCTGAGGCATTGGCTGTGCCATTGGCTGTGGCATTGGCTGAGCCACTGGCTGTGGCATTGGCTGAGCCACTGGCTGAGGCATTGGCTGTGCCATTGGCTGTGGCATTGGCTGCACCATTGGCTGAGGCATTGGCTGCACCATTGGCTGCGGCATTGGCTGTGGCATTGGCTGTGGCATTGCCTGTGGCATTGGCTGCACCACTGGCTGTGGCATTGGCTGTGGCATTGCCTGTGGCATTGGCTGCACCACTGGCTGCGGCATTGCCTGAGGCATTGCCTGTGGCATTGGCTGCGGCATTGGCTGCGGCATTGGCTGCGGCATTGGCTGCGGCATTGGCTGCGGCATTGGCTGCGGCATTGGCTGCAGCATTGGCTGCATCTGTGGTGCCTGTGTCTGAGGCTGCATCTGTGGTTGCATGTGTGGTTGCATCTGTGTTTGCATGTGTGATTGCAGCTGTGGCTGCAGCTGCGGCTGCGGTGGCAGCGGTGGTGGTGGTGGAGGCGGCAGCGTTGGTGGCTGCTGCTGCGCCAGACAAGTTATGGTATGGGACAGTGGTTCCCCAGGCCCCATAGGGATGGTGTTATTCACAAAACCATTCTGGGGGGGAGGTGGGGGGATCTGCCAAAACCCCAACAGGGAGGAAATCTCCACAGAGGCAGGAATCGCTATATTCACAGCATCTACCAGCAGCTCTTTGGGAAAGGTGACTTTCCCAATGCTCTCCTGAGCCATCTCAAAACATGGGTTGAGTTTGAGAGGCCCCTGAGGCTCTTGCAGAGGCAATTCCTCAAAGAAACTCACGTTGCAGAAGCCTTTGCCATCTGCTTTAATTGGCAGGCCTGCAAGTGGAACAAATGAGGTAGAACCAGGACTGAACTTGAGATCCTGGAGTGTTTGGGGAGGAGAAGCTGGAACTACCCCAGGGTGCAGAGTAACAAGCTGCTCTGGCATTGGCATAGGCTGAGTGATCGGCTCTGGCGGAGCAAGCACTAGACCATGAACCTCAGGTGGCAAGCCACCGGCAAGCCCATTCTGGGCGGGCACCCCTAACTGGAAAGGAGGCATGGCAGCAGCCTTCATCTGGAATGGCGGCGCAATGGTAGGAAAGGTGCTCAGACACTCTCCTGCCTGCACACTCTCTTGCATCAGCTCCTGAGAGTGGGTCTTCTTGGTGTGACGAGTGAGGTGGTCTTTGCGCCCAAATCGCTGTGCGCAGAACTGACACAGGAAGTCCTTGCATCCTGTGTGGACCACCAGGTGGCGACGCACATCCTTCCGGGTGTAGAAGCATCTCTCGCAGTGGTCGCACTGGTGTTTCTTCTCCCTGGTCGCATGGTGGGACTTTTCTTCCGCGTGAGACTTGAGGTGGACCAGCAGGACCTCGGTGCTCCCGAGCTCCAGAGCGCAGACCCCGCAGGTGAGGTCTCCACTGCTGGCCGAATGCAGGGCCAGGTGCCTCTTGTAGCCCAGCATGGTGTGGTACTTCTTGCCACACTGCTCGCAAACAAAGGAGATCTTGTTGGGGTCGTGGGTCAGCAGATGATTCTTCAGGTGGTCCTTCCGGTTGAAGGTCTTCTCACAATGGGCACACTGGTGAGTCTTCTGGGGGGAGTGTGTGGCCATGTGTCTGGAATCAGAAAAGGGGGTGGGGTGGGGGACAATTCACAACAGGGTTATTTCATGAATGAAGGCAAGCGTACAACACTGTCAAGACTAGCTATTTTCTTAAGGTCTTAGTGACCTTATAAATGTCTTTGCTGTATTTTCCAAATGCACACATTTTATCATGCAAAAAGGCAAGGATTACTAAAAGCCAGATTCAACTTTATACCTCCAAAAAAAATCAGATTTTAAAATATATGAATTTGAACTATACTTTTCAGGAAGGGGTTAAATGGGTGTTTGATACTTCAGAAATTTATGAATATACCAAATTGACCCAATGTGCTTTGAACACAGCTCTTGTCCTTCACTCCTATCACTAGAGTGTTGACTCTCTCCCCGGCCTAGCATCCAATCTTCCAATCTTCCCATTCATGTTTGTTCTTTACCTTACTTGCTTATGCAAGATGAAATGACTTCCTTCCCTTGGCTCCTCTTATCCCATGATGCCTAAACTAACGGTTTTGGTATGCCCTGTAGTCAACACAAACACATTACCTTTGCCCAGCAGGTAGACCATGTCAAGACTTAAAGTTCTCATTGTGTTCACACACAGTGAGACTCCCTTAGAGGTCAGCCAGCTCTGCCAAATCAGTTTCTCTAGCCCTGGGCTGTGTCTTCCTTGTAGCTAGCTGTTTATGGTACTGGGACCCACTTTCTCTTTCCAGTTGAGCAAGTCATTATCTATCTTCTTCCTTCTCTGCTTTTAAGACAGGTTATGGCGTTTGGGAACTGGATGGAAGGCTGCTCTGACACCTTTTAAGACAAACCTAAGCATCCTGCCATCTCACCACTTTCCAATTCCTTAAGAGACACAGACTCTGGCCTGGGAGGGTTGGGGAGGGGGTAGGAACAGCTACTGTCTTTTCTTCTCCTCAGGTCTCCCATAGAGCCCTCCCCTCCAGGGTGGTCCCAGTGATGCCAAAGCTACCATCTGTATTTGAGTAAGGGTGCCCAGATGTATGCAAGATGAGTTTGATGCTAAACAGAACCCTTGACACAAAATCAGTGCACATGGTAGCCACACGATATAGTTACTATGGCAACGAGAGAAATTTGAATTTTAAAATACAGAAGCCTTTTCAGTCTTATTTTAAACATCAGCTTATATTACATTATCAGTAATAGTGATGTTCTTAAGGTCAGGAGCATAATTTATATCTTCCCTTCTCCTAAGTGCCTTCCTCCAGAGTACTCCAAGGCAGAATGATAATTTAATGCTGCTACTGCTCGCTGGAAGCCAGGTTGCTAATTCTGTCACCTCTGCATTTATGTGTGAGTCGTCAGCAAGCTGAAGCTTGACAGATCATTTTCATGAAGACAACTAGACACAAGCAACATCTAAAGAGGTATATTGACAGCATTCTGTGTGGTCAGACTGTGGTCTGATTACACAGTTTGTCTTTCCTGTGGTATTACCAAAATCCATGTGGGCAGAAGGGACACCTTGGGTACCACTTACCTCATAGTAGAGAGAACCTAACTGACACTAGAGAAATAATGCATGCCATATGCCAACTCTCTTTTAAAGGGCTCATCTGAAAGCCACGAGTTTGGTATATGGTGGGTTCTCCAAAAGGCTGAAAAAAATGTACATGTGCAAAGTGTGGATACCCAAGGGAACCCATCTTGTCCAGGTGTCATGGTAATCGCCGGAGATAAGGCTTTAAAGAGTCCCTAAAAGGCTAAAATGTACCCACACCCTGCCTTCTCTTCCCTCAAGTGAGAGCCTCAAAGGCCTGAAGAGAGCCTCTCACCTCATCAATTTATACTTAGAGACGAAGGCTTTGCCACACTCAGCCTGTGAGCACTTGAATGGGCGCTCCCTGGAGTGCGAATAATTGTGGATGGTGAACTTCTCCAGGGTGAGGAAGGACTTGCCACATGATTGACAGCGGAATGGAGCCATGGCCTTTGCTTTTCACACCTTCTTTCTCAGATGTGCTGACCAAATGCTGTGCCATTTACACACAGGCAGAAAAGGGGGTAGGGAGTCACTACAGCTGGACTCCAGAAAAGGTGACAGGCAGCACTGCAGCCAAGCAGAGAGCGAGGGGAGAGATCCAGGGCAGGAAAGAGATTTTCATCACAATAGCTCGGCGTCCTGAATGGCGGTCTGTGGAGATAAGAGGAACAGTTTTCTCACACCCGCCATTGGAAAACTGTATCCGCCACCGCCACCACCACTTTGGAGCCAATGGCCCACAATGAGTTTGTTTCTTTACAATGGCTCAAATGGACCAGGCTCTCCATCCGCCCTTCTTGCTTCCCGCAGTCTACCCGTCTTTCTGGAGACCCTGTGTCCTGATGGCTGGTGAAGCATCCTCCCTCCTAATAAGGACTGCTACTTTCACAGACTCAAGGTCATCAGCTTCATGGTTTCAGCCCAGTGTGAGACCCCGTTGACTGACTCAGAGGGAAAAATAACCAAAACAAAAACCAAGCCTCCCTCTTTGTGCCATGGTGTGTGCTACTGGTTCACAATCGCGGCCCTCTATTGGAGCCATAAACTTCTCCTCTTCGTGCCCTGTTAGCACAAGAGAAGTTGCTGACAACGCCCGTTTAAACTCTCAGGGGATGAGAAGAAATCATGTGTATACATCTCGGTGAATTTGTTTGTGAGATCACTAAGCTAAAGGTATGGGAAGAGAGTGCAGCTGTACTGTTGTGCTGAGGAGAGAGAAAGTACGCCTACAGAAACGCAAAACAAGCCCACTGAGAGCTGGGGCCATCGCTCTGGAAAACCATCCATTCCACATTAGGCAGTGGGTTAGTCAATGGTGGCAAATCCAGCTCGTCTTGCCCCTGATCCAGACCCTTATCACCCAGTCAGCATCACGGAAACCCTGCGCCTGGCTTTTCTGGCCATAAGTTGAGCTGCCTCAAGTGTCTATGGTAGCATCGTAAACAATACAGTAGACCACTGTCCCACGGGGCCATTCTCACGAAGGGGGGGATGCTAACTTTCCATGCGCCAAAACTTTTTGACATTTCAAGTACAGGTTGAGGGTCCCAAATCTGAAAAACCTTATTGATCCAACAACTGAAAATTTCCGAGTGTTCATCTCTGAAAGTACAGGTGGAAAATGTCATACTTGATATGTTTGCTGTTGTATGTTCAACCTGCTTGGGACCTATCAAGCTAACTTCTGTGCTTAGGACTAAAGAATCGGGGCTATTCTGGAGCAGGGACATGTTGGTGTTCTCAGCCAATATTGTGGCAGCAAGGTTTTAAGATGGCTTTGATTCTAGGGACAGGCATACATACCCTTAGTCTATGACTTTATTTCTGATTATCCAAGCCCATCATAGTACAGGATGGTCTGGAACTCACTATGTTGTCTTGAACCTGTGGCAATCTTTATGACTTAGCCTCCCAAATGCTATTATAATTAGAGCAAGCCACCACACCTTGCTTAAGAGAAACTTTAACCGGGTTCCTGCCCTAGCTCTACCCTTTTGCCCCCACCCCTCATTCCTGCTTAATATTGTAGCTCATGCCCAAGGTGGAGGCTTCCTTTAGCCATCTCCAACAGCCCTAACTAGAGAGATTCTTTGTAGAAATCCCACTGTGTGTGGAAACCTGTGGTACTAGGCCATTAGAACACATTCATTCAGTTGAAATCACCTGATGTTCTTTGCAGGTCTGTTTTGAAAAGACTAAAGCACGCCTGGATTATAAAGTATGATATGTCCCTTCCCTCTCTCCCTCCCTCTGGAGCTAAAATAGCAGGGAGCCTCATCAACGCTGGAGGAGTGGGCAGGGAGGGATCCATACTACTGGGAAACTGCAATTATCTTCAGTTCGACTTCCCCAGCCACCGGCAACTAGTGTAGGGGGTGGGATAGGCAGACTCTTAGAGTCCCTGTCGAGAGATGAAGGGAAACCTGGGCTTTCTTTGCACTTGGCTGTGCTACTGATTAACACTCAGGTGTCTTGTTGAAACACAAGAGGGATTTAGAGCCACTATTTTATTAACATTGCGGGAGGGATGAGGTCCCCCAGTTCATACTCTAGCTCTGCCCTGCATTCTAACTTCTTGGTTGATATAGTCATATAATATGTGTAAATGGCCTGTTTGGGGGGGACAATCAATTGAAACAAAAATGACTTATAATCTTTACATTTCTGATTGCAACCTGGCGGGGGGGGGGATCACAAAGTATATAGTATTATAGAATAAGAACCACGTGTCACAGTACAGCTAATGGTTTCTATCCTAACCACTGAGCTATACATGCAGTGGATCAGTGATACATGTTGCCTCCCGATGTGTACCAACTCATTGTGGGGAGGGACCAGCGTAGAAACCTTGAGTGGCCACATACCAACACATCGCGAGCACAACAGAAAAACAGTATTTCCTTCATTTTTAAAGTTGTCCTTTGACACTACAGTTAGTCCCATTCTCCAGTTACTTCTTCCCTAGATTCCAAATGCCAACTGTCATGGACTTCGTCCATGCCCTTTCCCCTGGGCCTTCAGAGACGGGTGCACTCCAAGAAGGTCACACATGGCTGTGACTTACAAGAGTGAGGCAGATTCCTCCAACTCCAAGATCCCCAAACAGAAAAGTTCCTCACAAGACACTGTTCTCATGACATAATCACAAGCTTCCACAAAAGAAGTTTCCCAACAGACAATACATTCTTTATGATACGGGAATCAAACTTGCCTATTATAAAAAGCTACCCATATAGATATATAAAACATCTCTTAGCTACCCCTCACCTAATTCACACTGGCTGGATACTGATAACTCTATTATTCAGTTAAAACTTGACGTACTTAAAATAGGCCATCTACTATCTAGCAAGCCATCCACAAGTATGACAAAGCTGAAGGACTATGGTCCCCCAAGAGAATCAGCCTGTCCCGTGTCTTGACACACAGATCCCATCGAATCTTAAACATGGTACTATTTCAACACCTGTCACCCTGGAAAGATAGTAAGCCTTCCCCCCAAAAACATCTCAGGACTTAATTTTCAGTCCCCCTGATTCTAAAAATACTGAGTGAGTGATACAGATCTGCCGGCATGTCAGGAAGGCTTGGGCCATCTGCTTCATTCCATTTATGCTGATTATTTTAGGGATGAGGGAGGATCAGACTGGAATAAGAACCATATATATATATATATATATATATATATATATATATATATATATATATGGTAACAGCCAGGAAGACTGTAATCCCTGGGGGCTAAGGGTATACAACAGTGAATCGGGAGGTCAGAACGCAGATGTAGACCCAGAACTTCCCCAGCGCTGAGAAACACAATCATCTAATGGGGAACAGCTATTTTACAGCATTCTCAAAATAAACCAGGACTTCTGGCTCCTGTTTCCATTGTCCCAAGTCATACAAAGTGGGGCCCATTGCTGGAGGAAATGAGATTTCCATTTTGGTCTGCCACGGTGGATATGCTAAGTTGGTTGGTTGGTCTGGCTTGGTTGGTTTTGAGCACTACTACTTGGGGTTTAGAAGGTTCTGATCTAAATTTTTTCTCTCTCCTTCCCCAGGCCCGGGACTGTTTTCATGTGTCAGGATCAATTTTAAAGGGGCCTTTAACAAGACTGGGGTTGTGTTTGCTTGCTTGCTCTCTCCTGTATTCTCAAATTACGAAGGAGCCGTACATTTTATCTGGCTTCAGGGTACTTTCCTCAGTCCTTTGAAGGACTGGATATCAAGTCTACACTGGCAAATTAAAAGTACATCCAGACGTGTCAGCAGGAGAAGAGGCCTGAAACACCCTGTCTGTTACTGCCCATCTTTTATTCTCTGCACTCATAACCGTGGTAACAGCGCATGAGCAAGGGCAGTGTCAGAAGAGCTAGGTCCCTCATGGCACATGCCTTAAAGTGTACACTCGTGAGCCTCCTATGAAGCCCCGAGGGGACGCTGCTACCTTATCAGCTTTGACACCTGAGGCCCAAGGCAAGGCAGCAGGCAGGTCCTGTATTCAAACAGGTTTAAAGGGCATTCTCCGAGGTGAGAGATGAGAGAAAATCCTTTTAGATGCTGTCAACATGCCACTCAAATGTCTGCAATGAGCTACCATTTCCTAATGTATTTGCTATATACCGGGTGCCTATGCTTCATCAGATTCAAGTGGGAAGTTCTATAATAATGGTTTTGGGGGAACTTAGCCTTGAACAGTGTATACAAACTGAGTTTAAGTGTGTATACAGGTGATAACTTACTAGGCCCTGTCTGTGCTATAGGGCAGGCTGCTTGCTCGCCCATCACGGGGATTCATTTGTTGGCACAGTTAAGTCTGCTGTCTCTAAAGGGAGGGTGCTGACTTGTACAAGGAGAGAGGGGCTTTAGTGATATTATACGAGCACAGTACTCAGCTTAGTATCTGGACTAGAGGAGAAATCACATGATTCATAGCTAAGAAAGGTAAAAATCCAAAGGAAAAATCCAGCAAAATTAGTTCACCTTTCTGGTTTCGGTCTTTTTTTTCCCCCCAATGGCACCTAACATATGCTCGAGCATCAAGGAGACTGGAAGTGCTAAGCTGCTGAAACCTTTGGAAAGTGGGTAACACCAGGAACAAGGCTCACCCAGGTGACTTTAGAAATGACTCAATTCTCCCCGGGTGGTCTGGGACCCTGTCAGAAAGCTTGTCACATGAGTGACCCCCCCCCCATACCAACGTTTCTCTTCCCTAGGGAGGGCGGGTGAAGTACACTAGCCCTGGGGTGTGGAGAAGATTATTTCCTTTATGGCAGGCTGCAGCTAGACGGAGTCTTCCCCTTAGGCATCTATCTATTCAGGGCTGTGGAAGGAGAGGGGGAGCAGTTGTGTGGGGACACGATGTTCCCAGAGCCCCAGCTTCCTCCAGGGTGAGGCAATGGGGGGATGGGCCGCCGTGAGGAAAAGTAAGCAAAGGAGAATTAAGTCTCACTTACAGGGAACTTAGTGAGATACATCTAGGGAACTCGGGTACAGTGGAAATATAAAGGAGACCCAAACGGCTTACATCGGCCTCCTTCGGTTGCTTGATCCACCAGCAAAGAGCAGACTTTTTACAGATGGGATTTCTTTGTTACAGTTTGCTCAGGCCCATCCACTAATCCTGGATTTGAACTTGTACATGTGTGCATACGTGTGTGCTTGTGTCTGCAGGTTAAGAAACCAGAAAGAGGATCACGAAAGGGAAAGGAGAGCTGGGGGAGGGGGGAAGAAAGGATATAATACACTCGACATGAGAAGCAGCAGGAGGGGGCTACCGGATTGGGGGGGAGGGGTCAGCAGGGGAGAGACGAGAATGGGGGAGGGGTGGGGGAGGAGCTACAGTGAGGACAAAAAAAAGTACACGTAAAAATGCCACAGTGACTATTTTATATGCTACCTTTAAAAACTAATAAAGTTTTTATTTGGTGGGCTGAAGATATTATCCACCCACACTAATGACTGACTATACACAGGAAGGGAGAAAGGAAGAAGAGCAAACAATAGGTCGTGAGGGCCAACAAAACCATCTCAGCTAGAATGGGAAGCACGTGCACCTCAAAGGGCCGCAGAGGAAGAACCCAACCCGCCACAGCTGCTTCCGGTGGTGGCCAGAGCGTAGGACTCATTGCATATGAGCGCCCGCGGCCCCAGGCCTGAAGCCGACCCACCCCCAGCACCATCTCAGACCTCCTTTTCGCCCCACACAGGGGACGCAGGGGCTCCCCATCTCCACAGCGTCATGGCCTCCTGAGGGATGAGAGCTGGGAGAAAGCAAGGAAGGATCCTTGACCACCACCACCCCCCCCCCACTCTCCATCACACACTGGATTCCTAAATGGAAGATCGGGGAAGAAAGGGCGAATGTCTCAAAAGAGACAGGCCCATCCAGAAAAACAAGTGTGGAGTCCCCAGGTGGGCTCTGAGACTGGGGTGAGTCATCTTTGTTTTAAGACTATTTCTTGATGGAGACTGGGTAAACTGGTGTGAGATAAGAGCAAGCCTGCCAACCCAGACAAAAGCCTTTGGCAAAGCAGACACTCTAACGTCAAAGCCGGGGGTGGAGACTGTTCCTTTGTGACAGCTGAGAACATATGCCCCCTCTGCACCCTCCCTATAAATCCCTTCTGACCACCCTTTAGACCTTTGTACTTCTGTAACTGATAGCCGATCTCTTTCCTTGTGGCTCTACGTGTAGGGCATGGGGAACCAGAACTCTAATTAGCAGAATGGCCTATTGTCCCAATAAGGCCATCCTTCAGGGGACAGGAAAAAAAAAAAAAAAAAAGAAAGAAAAGCCAGGGTCCTTTTTAGGAAGTGAGAGGGTCCAGGCTAATATTGAGAAAAACAAAGGCAATCTGGGTTCTACTGACAAGGGGAAGCCAGATCCATGAGTTAAGAGTATCCGGAAGAGACTTAAACAATCTACACTGTCCAGAGGGGACACTCAAGGCTTGGGTGGGTCATGTAGCTTCGACAGTAATCTTTCCAGATAAACAGGAAGAGACCAAGAGTGTGAACACCCATGAGCCCGTAAGATGGTCTGGATGATCTGTGGGTATAACTTTGCTGGCCTTGCCAAATGTCTGCACAGCCTAAGTTCTGATTGCCCGCTAGAAGGCTAGAGACGGAGGACGGATAGAATAGCAGAGGGACGGGCAGGGAATGGCGGTACAGAGCCCCATGATTCAGCCTGCCTGGAGGCAGGAGGGAAGGTACAGTGGAAGAGTCTAGACTGGAGGCCCTTCAGCCACAGGAGAGAAGGCTTATCACTCGGGGAGCAGCCAGTCTGCAGAGGTCAGGGCCTCAAGAGGCCATAGCCATTGCTCCCTCTTGCCCGATTATCTGAAAGGAACAGGAAATCTGAGGCCCTACTCAGAAGCCCAGCATAATCTTTTCCCACACAAGACTGAGTCCAGGACCAAATCGCCCCAGACATGCATCTGACAGGCACTTTTGAAATGACAACAAATGATGTGATTCTCAAAGGCTCTATCAGTGGAGGGCTCTCCAGAACTTAGAAATCTGTGATATGAAGAAAGAGAATGTTCTTTATCTGTTAAGCAAACTGTTCATCTAGAAATAAGTCTGAAATGCAAAAGTATTTAATCATTGGACCTTCACAGTTCTCCTTGTTTGATTTTTTTTTTTAAAGCTGGTAAACATTTTATCGGGTTTCTGCTTTGAAAGAGAGGGACAGTAATGGAAGAAAGGCAAAGTTCCTAAGCTTGTGCATGGCACTCTCTGAAAGAGGTGAAAGGATTGTTAAGGGAAAAAGCTTAAAAGGAAAGAAACACTAGCTAGACGGGCCTCCTTTTCCTTTTTAAACCTTACGTCTCTTTCCTCCTCCATTCATAGGGTTAGGTCCTTTGTTTGTGTAACAGGCCATTACAATCATACGGGGTTCAATGGGGGAGGAATGTGAACTCTCTAAGTAGCTCTCCTGGCCATCCACATGTGTGGTCCCTCCCCCAGCACAGCCTGGCTGGCCCCATCTGCCTTTCTGAGCTCCAAACCTCCAGCAGAGCAGGCACCTTGCTTACAATAAGCCCAACTTCCCACTGAGGCATACATGCTGCCCCTTCCCAGGAGCCCACAGCCTCCCCAAGCCCCTCTTCCTTCCCCATGTTGGCTCGCATCCAGCTCGGGCCTGTCTCCTTCAGCCCCTTAAGAGAGTTGTCTATTGATGTGCGGGGCCGTTTCTTTCTTCAGCTTGTTCCCTGAATCCTGGGCAGACGCATTCCAGATCTCCCTGTCTATCACATACTCCATCCTCTAAAGTCATGTACACCATAAACAGAAGACACAAGTCAAGATTCCTCTCCTCTAGCCTCCCCAGACTAATTACAACTCCCTGGGCCTTTTTCCCTTCTTGGCAGATAATGCCACTTGGTATGAATTTCAGTTTCTCAGTTAATGAGTCCAAATAGCGTTTAGTAACAGTTGTCTTTCCAAAGGAAACAAAATAACATTTGAGACAATACTACAGTATTTCAGTCATGCTGGTAAAGCTTTCTCGTATTCAGTCCAATTCCTACACAAAGCCCTACCTTCCATATGGCAGGAGAGGCATCCCGGATTGCGTTTGATACTCAATGAACTGAATTTCCCTGTCTGTACTAATGAGCTACTGGACTAAGAAAGTGCCTAGTACATGGTGATTTCCCAGGAAGGATTAACCTTCTACAATGGTACTGATGAGGGTATCGGGGAGCTGTGGCTACTCTAGTTGTCCTAAGCTATTCAGGTAAGCAGAGGACCCTTCAGCCATAGCTTTTCCCAAATGGGTGATGGGCTCCCTGGCAAAGCTGAATGCAGCCCAGCCTCCTCGGGTTTATAACTCATCCTCTTCCACGAGGGAAGAGCAACTTGACATCTTCAGCACACAGGTCTATCAACAGAGGTAGCCTACAGGGTCTTCAACTATCAGGGTTGTCAGAGAAAATGCCATGGACCTGCTAGGTAGAGATGGCTGGGGCTGCAGACAGGGTCAGGAAGCTGCAGAGGATGTGAAAAATTGCTCATGGCATCACCAGAGTCCCTAAGATAACAAGACAAAAGAATCCTAAAGTGTTGTGCAGTTTTAAGAGGTATCGTGTACCTCAACTGCATTCCTGCATCCCTGAGTTTGACGTGTGCTTCCAAGCAACTTTGTGTTTTGAGACTGTGTATCCCTGGCTGGCTTGGAACTTCCTATGTAAACCAGGCTTTGAAGCCACAGCGATCGCACTTGTCTCTGCCTCCCAAGTGCTGAGATTAAAGGCGTGGGCACCAACACATCTGGCCCCGAGCAATTCTTATCAAACACATCCAAATAGGAATAATTTTTAAACTCTCATACCTTTTATGTGACCAGGAATGTCAGCTGGTGGGCAGGTATGGAGTCCTCTAGACGTCTGTCTGAAGACTCGAACCTGTAAGAAGCGAACTTGGACATCGTTAGGGAATAGAACCAAAACATTGCTACCACCTGAAACTTCCTTTGAGAGTACCTGCCCCACTGGTGTGGTATAAAGATGGTCCCTACACCTTTTCAAGCATCTCAACTGATGGTCTCTATGTAAAGTATATCTATCATGGGTCCTACATGCAACTGCACGAGAAGCTGAAGTTACCCCTTGCTTTCTACAAGCAGGAAAAAAAAATGAACCTATGAAATTGCTTACATAAAATATTCAAAACAGCACTCAGAGGAAATGGTGTTTCTTTTAAAACAACAACATTAAAATGCCGTAAAACAGGTATGCAAATCTATGCAGTAACAGAATCTGAAACAAATTGTGAATCAAAAGAAAGGATGCATTTTCAATAGGAGTTTCATGCAAGCATATAGATTTATCAAATTTGCAGTGCAAAAAGGCTGACATCTCTAAATTGAATAGGCAGTTAAGTGACTTAGAGTTAGCAGGGAGATCTTTTTTTTCTTCTTCTTCTTCTTTTTTAATAAAAACTAAAAAAAAAAAAATAACATATTCCAAGGCTACCTCACAAATCTATAGACAGAAAGAACATGGCTGGGACCCTGGAAATTGATGTTTCTCCCTTGTCTTCAGTAACTGGTCCTCATCCCAACCTTTCACCACTGAGCACTGACATAACATTTAGAAACCCACATCCCCGTTCATCAGACTTGGCCTCTTCAAACTCTGACTATTCTGCCAGATTGATTTTCTTGGGGGTAGGGAGGATGCCTCAAGATTTTCTTAACCAGTATGAAAACCATCGATTGCAAAAGCGAATTCTACCTCATCTGAGTGGTTTATTCACTTGACCGACTAGTCTCTTTTAATTTGAGCAAAAAGGCTATGTCTGTTTGGTATAGGAACATCCTTTTGAGGTGAAAAGGGGAAAATTGTGGCTGTCTTTAGACAAGTTTAAAGAATAATCAAATACAGTTTAGGGAAAAAAAAGAAAAAAAGACCTGAAGGTGACCACGAATTTGTCTGGATCTGTTTGTTTTCCATCTGGTCCTTATTGTACATATGTAAACAGACATGTGAATGGCTCACCTCCTCTCAGAATTCTTCACATTGACTGTGGTCATTTAATTGGGTGGTCCCCCGAGGCCTGTGTTAACTTTTTTTTTTTTTTCAAGAGATTTAAAACACATGAAAGCCAAAGAATAAAATTAGTCCGGATAATTTTTCATTGAGTCTGCCCATCTCCCCAGTGGACAATACCGATTTATGTATTCAGAGAGGAGGGAACTTGCTTCTGTTGCCCGGGAAGGGGCTTTCAGAACACGAGGTACACAAGCTAGACAGCAGAGTGGCTTGGCTTTGTTGTCAAAATATTCAAATCATCATGAAGAGAAAGCCGTTCCTCTCTGCATTCAACAACACTTGGCCTCAGAAGACCCCCACAGAAGAGTCCATTCTTTAGCTGCACAGTATGAGCAGCAGTGTAAGGGGGGGGGGGTCCTGGTAGGGAGGGAGGGGATCAAGCCCCTCGGCCTTTCCCACCTGCCCACCCAGCTCTGCCTCAATGTGGGGGAGGACCTGAGACAGGCACCTCAGGGGACAACCCCGTGCATCGTGCAACCATGTAACATGGCAGAGATGACACCATCAAGACAAAAAAAAAAAAAAATCACCCATCTCAGTTTGACAGAATGCTACTTGCAGACGGCTTTTCCGGTCTGAGATCTCAAAAGCCAAGAAAAAAAAAAATAGTTTTCAAATGTCAATTTAAAAACAAACAAACAAAAAAGAGCATGAGATGAAAACGGCCCTATAAAATTAAACAAGGCAAAGGCGTCATCCTAGAGTTCCAGAAGAGCAAGAAAAATCACATTTTTCTAAGAAGGGAGTTCGGCATGCAGTAAATAGAATTATTACATTAATTATTTTAATGGACTTTAAACGCCATTCATGGACAATAAAAAAAAAAAAATGGAAGTTTCACTAGTTTAGAGTGTGTGATTTCTAGAATATACTTCTGCCTTCACAGTATGTGTTTCTATTTTAGAACCCCGCCTTTTCCCCCAGTTAATGAACTAGGTGCACTGCTGGCTGAGCGTTCACCGAAACTCAAATTGAACAAAGAGATTTCTTCCAGGTTCAGCTCGTTCACTTTGAGTTACTCCTGGCTGGATTTAAGCAAAAGCTGGAAACTTACTTTACTTCTGAGGATCTGAGTGAGAACAAATTGGGCAACGCCAGACACTAAAACACCCACTCTGATTTTCAATAAAACTCCTCTAGCTTAGAGGTGCGTAGGATTTGCTTAGGAAAGACTCTCTTTTTTTTTAAAACATGATCTCATATGCAACGGGGCCCACCGATTTGGAAGCTTACAGACAAATAAATCTTATCACAGTGAAATGGATGGTGAACAGTGAGCATCTATCTTTGAGAAGAGGACATTCTCTTCCGAAGGACGCTTTTTAAAAGATGCTCAGAGGGCAGGCTGACCAAGGGTCACATGAAATTTTAATAGATTTGGGGACCTCATTATCTGGCCTCTGCTCTCTTATTTTAGATAATCTCTATATTCCCCGTTCATGAAACTCAAGGTTTCCAAATACTTCCTGAGTTCGGCCGAGCACGGCCCCCCCCCCCCAATCACTGTCTTCAAGTGTGAACTTCCTTACAGATCCTGGAAGAAAGCTGGACCCCTCATGGATCTAAATCAGAGGCTTCCCTCCAAAACCTAGTGGCTCCCAGTGGGGGACACTGCTGCAGAGTCACAAAGTTCTGCAAACTCCCGGGTGCTCACCAGGTGATGGTTATGTGTTAAGTACTGAAAACTCTCAGGAGGGAGCTGTATCCCTCCTGCTTCACCTCTGGACTTGCCAGGATGCTAGCTCCACTGGTACTGTGGGCAGCTCAACTGGATGTGTCCCTACACAATCAGAAACTCTGCAGTCGCCTTAGAATTTTTTTTTTTATTATTTTTTTGCCTATGACCATGCTGCATCGATCCTGTGTGTGTGTGTGTGTGTGTGTGTGTGTGCTTACTGCCTCTCAAATCTGTTTTCTTCTTTCACAATTCCCTACTGCTCAGGTTCCTTTCCTGCGGCCATTAAATCAGCACGGTGGGAAACTTCTGGGAACTTTATTTTGTTTTGCCAACAGTGTCCCTCGCTAGCTTATTTTAAACAGGTGGAAGGTTTCCAAGCCTTCACATTCTCTCCCAGCTAAAAGCAGGCCAGCCCTAAAGTCTGTTTGTTAACATTGAAACCTGTCACAGAAATTCGGCAGGACTTACAGGAAGTAACTCAAGAAGAGAGGACAGATGAGGTGGGGGGGGGTAGGAGAGAGGGGGGCGGGGGGGGAGAAGGTGGGGCACGCTCCCCTCTCCTTCCCCATATCACTGCAGACCCAGTTTAGAAAGGAAAGGTCAATCTGTCTGTGTAGCAAGGGGGCCCTGCTTGGCAGGTCTGGGGTAAGATCCCTGACCAGACAGCTGTGTGGGAGCATCCATGAGAGGGAGGGAAGCTGAGCTCCCCTAGGACCGCAACCTCCCGGCTCGCAGCCTTGTGGCCGACAGCTGCAAGGCTTCAAGTCACCACTACTGTGATATATAGAAGAGGGCAGGGGGTCAGTCCCTCACCTTCCAGGCGCCATGAAAATCTCTAGGGTGAAGGAAACACTCTGCCAGTGTAAGCAGGGCAACTAAAACTGGCCTAGAGGCCATTCTTTAGGTTGCCATTGGAGGGGGAGGGGCGAGGGGGACGGCGCTGCCCTGTCAAGGATGGTTGGTGGCTTTAGGATCTCTCTCTCTCTCTCTGGTCTCGGACAGTGAGATTCACATTTATGGATGCCACCTCAGTAATGAGCCAAAAAGCTTCCTTGGAATTGTGCCTCTCCTTTAGACGAGGACCTCTAGGAGGGCAACCAATCTGTCAAGGACAACCAACAAAGGGTTTGCAGAGAGAAGCAAGGACACAGAAGGCATAGGTGGCCCAGGGAAGGTCAGGGTTATACCACCCTGCAGCAGACAGAGCAGGAAGGCCCAGACCGGGCTGCTGTGAGAGTACACTCGGGGCTACCTCCTCTTATTCCTATGCAAATACCTAGAAAGGGAAAGGCGCACGGTGTTATTTTAAGGCCCTTTATCTTAAACTCTGAATTGCTAAAAGCAAACAAACAAAAACCAGAGGGAAGTCTACTTGGAAGAGGCCTGAGCAATTGCAGGCTGAGGTCCAGGAAACCGTATTTCCTAACCTAGATACGCTTCCTAGTCAACAAGCCGGGACAGGGAGTGGTCAGCTGATTTCCCTGAGATGGAAATGATGAGCGCTCCGAGCCAAGGTACTTTGAGAGAGAAGAGATTCTATCCCTGGCACAAAGAAAAGAAAATCCTCGAAACCAGACGGGGTTGACTCAAAGCTACTTGAGGCACTAAGGACATGTCTGAGTTTGGGGAACAGCATTCAGGCTCCAAGCAAATTCCAGTTCAGCCTGCGGCTGGGGGAGGGGGGGCGGGGGGTCTCAGACTTACAGAAGAGGGTTACAAAGGGCCTTTGCTAAAAACTGGGGATTGTTTGGGGTAAGCCAAGACACGTGGGCCACAGTGGAACGTTTGGAGGGGCAGGAGCCTCAAATACATTCTAAATCTATAGATTTAGAGAGTGAGGCACACGGCGAGAGGGCATGGTCTGCTCGGTCTCGAACCCCAAACCCCAGCTCTCAGTTTGTGTTCTGAGAATAAAGGGCAGGTATTAAACTATACTCAAGAAGAGAATGCAGAGAAAAAAGAAAGGACCAGTCCATTATATTGGTCCAGACAGAACTTTCCTGTGGCGCCTTTGAAATGCCCCCCACCCCCAGCCTGGTGAGCAAGAAGCCAGAAGTCAGGACTACCGAAGGGCAATTTCCACATGTTGGAGACTGAGGTCCATACTGGTCCCTGCGTTTTTGGACTAGCTCCCCTTTATTCTAAATCACAACAGTCCCGTCAGGGTGGTTCTTATTAACACACTAG